ACTACGTCATCAACACTCCAGACCGGAGGAAGAAACAAAATATATATCATGTTAACTCATTAAAGAAGTACTATGATGATAGTACTGATTCTCTTTCCACAGCTAAGGTTATTTTACCAATATGTGTGTCTAATTAATCTGATGATGTTATCCCTGACAAGATAAAACCCCAACATTGTTAAATTCCTCATTTTTAGCTCATTTAGATGACCAGTTTGTACATTTTGTCAAAAATTGTCACAGTTAATTGATACCTTTCCCTCCATTTTCGGGGATATTCCTAAGGAAGCAAATGTGCCCCCTCACGATGTTGACGTAGGTGATGCTAAAGCTGTAAAGCAACATCCCTATAGGTTAAACCCTGAAAAAGCTGTTATCATGAAAAATGAAATTGATTACATGCTAGAAAACGACATCATTAAACCCAGTTTTAGCAATTGGAGTTCCCGCTGCCTTTTGGTACCGAGAGGCGCTGGCTCTTACAGATTTCTGACTGACTTCAGAAAAGTCAACGCACTTACCAAATCTGACTCTTACTCATTGCCTAGAATAGAGGATGTAATTGATAAAATCGGTCAATCAAGAGTTATTTCCAAAATTCACTCGTTGTCAGGTTATTGGCAAATTTCTTTATCAGAAAGGGCCAAAGATATTTCTGCATTTGTTACCCCAAATGGTTTCTGTAGGTATAAACGCATGCCGTTTGGTATTAGAAACGCTGGGCAAACGTTTCAACGCGTCATAAACTCTGTTATTGCAGATGTTGACAAATATGATGCCTACTATGATGACATTGTTGTGTACTCTGATTTCTTTAAAGAGCACATTGTCCAGTTATCTCAACTTTTAATAAAATTGTCAGAGATTAATTTCACTGTTAATCTACATAAAAGCGACTTTTGTAAAAGTTCTATTACTTATCTAGGTTATCAGGTGGGTACTAACCAGGTTAGACCCATTTAAACTAAGGTTGAAGCTATTTTGAAATTGCCTCCTCCCAAAAATGTTAAGGAAGTTAAGATTCCTGTGGATGGCAGGTTATTACAGACGTTCTTGTAAGAATTTTTCAGCTGTTGCTGAACAATTAACTGTTTTGTTAAAAAAAGGTTTTGATTTTGTATGGTCAAATGAGTGTCAGAATAGTGTTTTAGACATAAATCCTATTTGTCTAATGCACCTGTTATGGCTGCACCAGAATTTAGCAAGCCTTTCAAACTTGCTATTGATGCAAGGAAGACAACCCAGGTATTGACCACTCGATTGCTTTTTTTCTAGAAAGCTGAATGACAATCAGAACAATTACTCCACCATTGAAAAAGGAAGCATTAGCTTTAGTCTTGTCCTTAAAGCATTTTGAGGTTTATGTTACTTCCTCAATAAATCCAGTCATGGTATTCTCTGACCATGACCCTCTTAAATTCACCACTATGTTAGGACAAAAGAACAACAGAATAGTTAGATGGTGCTTGTATTTCTAAAACTTTAATCTGGTTATTTTTCATAATAAAGGAACTGATAACATTGTGGCAGACTGTTTGTCAAGAATGTAAGTTTTTTTATGTCCACATTGATCATGTGAAATTTTTGTGGTTTATTGTGACCATTTGCAAATGGTGTGTTTTGGTGATTTCCCTGTCTCGTGACATGAGTGGTCTGGGTTGTACACATTTTTTTAATAGAAAATTATCATATTATTGAAAATGCCTGTTATTTTCAAGTGAACCTTATTTAAAGGTGGTATTTCATTATATGTATTAAGTTATTATAAAATGTACCTCATTACTCAGTTGATGTTATAGTGGGACATTGAAATAAAAGAAATAACCCTGTTGAGTTCACCACATGTTTTATCCACATGGATATATTTTGTTATATAAGGGACTTTGAAGTATTTTTTTAGGAAGGAATATTCCACTTTGACAAATTGTAAAAGGTTGAATTGTTTCCCTTTGATTTCCATGGATGTTTTCTCCTGATATAGAAAATTTTGTTTGCTATTTTGGTTGAGTATTTTCCATGTCAGATTTGTTCCATATAGATGTTGTTATGGTAACAAATCTGCCTCTTTCAAAGGGAGGGATGTGACCTACTTAGGTCTTATTTTTTAATAATTTAGTTCTTCATTTATGTAATCGACCGTGGGAGAGCTGTGGTGCAAACACCAGTATTTTTCCGTCACGTCATGTGATGAAATTTTCCAATAAATTTTTATTGGTTATTTTGACCTTTGGCGATTTCCCAACCAAAGGTCTTATGACTTTGGAGTGTCCTTCCCTGGTTCTGAGGTGATTTAAAAACCCTGAAAGCGCATGCTCTGCGCAGCCGCTTTACAGACATCTCGGGAGAGAGTGCCATGTGTGTGACGCCATATTGTGTTACATAGTTTAAAGCAGCATTTTCCCCTATTATTTGTGATTCTAGTACCATTCAGTGCTTTAAGTAATTTTCTATAAGCTGTGTTCATTTCCTATTACTATATCTGTGATATTTGTAACCTAGTGATTTTTCATCAACTCACTTCCTCTGTGGTCAGTCTAGATCGAAACGCCGGAGTGAAAATTCGGACACTCCTACTTGACCGATACGGTTCACAGTTGGCTCGTGGGTCGAGACATAAAGACAATGCAATCTGAAATTAAATTTGACTTAATTGGATGCCTAAATATGTTTTTGAATTACTTAAAATTTTGTCCAAATTAGTAGGCATTCCTATCCAACCACACCACACGCGTCACCACGTTCAATAGCTGCGTCATCACGTTCAATAGGCTCGCAATGGTTTTTAGTCATGACACTCTATTGTAAATAAAAACATGTAAAGTAATAAATTTAAAAAAAAGTTTTTATAGCAAGCTTTTATGTACTAATGCACTAAAAAGTAGAAAATAAATTATAGACTACTATTCAAATAACTATAAACAAAAGCGTGGGTCTCTTCATAAACATAATAAAGATATCCAATGGAAACTAAAGTGACCCACGCTTTTCTTTATAGTTATTTAATTAGTAGTCTATAATTTATTTTCTACTTTTTAGTGCATTAGTACATAAAAGCTTGTTAAAACTTTTTTTATGAAAAAAAAAATATATTATGCAGCCAGCTCCCAAATGTCCTGTATGTTTACTTTTATCTTTCCATTTGCGGATAAAGCTTGGGGTATTATAGTCGTTCACTAAATTTAACGAGGCGCGTCCGCCGTTGGCCCAGCAGAATTTTATTTGGCGCCCTGGGCAATCCTGTGAGCGCTATGGTGCATAATTTCGTTTTATACAGTGCAATAGACTATGGATAAGAAAATTTCATATAGTCTTTCACTGAACTGAATTCGGGCGTCCTCCGGCACCCCACAGGGTGCTATTTGGCGCCCCGGGCCTTCCCGTGTTCGCATTGGCGCATACGTTCGTTTAAGATAGCGCATAAGACTAAGAATAAGTTGGGGTATTATAGTCGTTTACTAAGTTGAATCAGGCGGTTCCGCCGGTGCCCCAGCATGTTGCGTATTGGTGCCCTAAGATGGACTATGAACAGTATGCTTTTATGTTCTGCATATAAGTTTGTGTTTATATTTGCGTTTATTTGCATTATGGTAATATATTTTCTAAACCCGAACAATGCCGGGTATATGCTGATTACTAAATACACAAGTCATGGTCCTATACAGATAGGTTTTACAGAGAGGTCAGTGCAAGGCCTGACCGGGATGGCTACTATCTCTCTCTCTCTCTCTCTCTCTCTCTCTCTCTCTCTCTCTCTCTATATATATATATATATATATATATATATATATATATATATATATATATATATATATATATATATATATACTAGCCGTCCCGGCCAGGCCCTGCACTGGCTTCTGTGAAAAACCTTTCTTTTAAAGACCTGTGGGTTTAGTAATCATCATAAACCCGGCATTGCCCACCCAAACCACAACCAACCAAAACCACAACAACAAAACGCAAACATAACGCTAACACAATTACAAATACAACCGAAAACAACAACCTAACAACAAACCCAACCACAACCACAAACACCAATACAAACACAAAGAAAAAACAAACAAAAAAGCAAACGAAAACAAAAACCTAATATTAAACCCAAACCCAACCACAACCACAAACACCAATACCAACACAAAGAAAAAAACAAACGAAAAAGCAAACGAAAACAAACCAAATCCAAACGCAAAACCAACAACAAACACAAATACAAACCCAAGAAAAAAACACAAACAAAAACAAAAATAGAAAGAACAAAAACGAACCAAATTAAAACGCAATCACTAACGCAAACCCAACCTAAACACAAAGAAAACACTACCGCGAACATAAACGCTAAGTGCTCACAGTCTAGCCCGGGGCGGAATCGCCTGTTTCAGCTTAACAAACGACTATAGTACCCCAACTTATTCATATTCTTTTGCACTCACTTAAACGAACGCGCCTGTTTCAATTTAATGAACAATTATAATACTCCAAGCTTATCCGTAAAATACCTACAACATTTGCACTTGATCAATCCCCGCTAATTATGTAATTGGTTTTTTTCCCAACACCAAAACAAAGTAATAAAAAGTAAATTCTTTTCCTTTAATGCAATGTTTTTATAAAGGGAAGTAATTGTGTTTTCCTAATTTATCAAAGGGAAGTAAGTGCTAAAGGACTAAATAAAGACATAATTAGAATTTTTGTAAAAGATGATATTTTTTTAAAACTTGTGTTTAATGAATAAGCCGACAATTATTACTTTCAGTTTGAAAAATGAAAATTATTTCCCAAAACTTTCAATATTAATTTTTTAACTCATAAATTTAGACCATAAGTACTTTAAAAAGTATCCATGACAAACATTTTACACTTTACATATTACAAACATGTTACATACAGGATTGAGCTTTATATATATTATATATATATATATATATATATATATATATATATATATATATATATATAAATATAATGACTAAAAAGAACAGAATAAAACAAACTGTAGCTTCAGCGAGACGTACGTAAATTTATTAATACAAATATTATTAAACTCACACATATTAAGTCTAATTAAAAGTACAAACAGTATTTATATTTCTACTATAACAGAGAGTAAATGTAACTCTGACGCAAACGTGGAAGGCTTATAGCATATGCAGATAAAACTAAAATATGTAAAAGATTAAAAGTTTTGTAAAGAAAAGTACTACACATTGCAATGTAAAGATTAATCTACTAAGTTTCATACTATTGTAAATGTACACGACTGAAAAAACTTTTTGAAGGCAAAAATGTTGCTGGGAAAGGATTTATATAATCTTTGTAAAATGAAGTTTTTATTATGCATTTAAATGATAATGTTACCCAATAAGTAAAATTCTACTAATAAAAAATGAAATCCAACTACTTTATGTTTACATGAAAAAAAATGATGACAGAGCAAATTCATTCATTCTCGGTAGTTTTGCCTAGAATTTAAGGATATTTTACTAAAATCCGAAAAAACCAAGTACATTATCTTTCAATTTAGTAAAAAAACCTTTATCGGCCTCTTCCTTAATTTGTCTATACCGTTCTTCAGTTTCAGCTAATTCGCGCTTCAATTTTTCTTTTTCCTTCTTTGCACGCTTTTTATTTTCCGCCTTTTCTTTTTCTATTAGTGCTTGCTGTCGGTCCATTTCTTCCTTGGCATGGCGTCTTATCTCTTCTTCTCTTCTTTTATTTTCTTCTTCAATACGCTTTGCTTGTTCTTTCATTCCTTTTTCAGCTTTCTTTCTTTCTTTATCTGCTTCCTCTTTGGCCATCAGTTGCAGCTTTAGTTCAAGTTTCTTCATTTCTTCCTCCATTTGCTTTCGTCCCGCTTCTCTTTCTTTCTCGAGTTGCTGTGTTTTCTGTAAAATTGCCTGCTCTGCTTCTTTTTTAATCTTCTCTTCTAAAGCTTTCATTTTTTCATTTTCTTCGATTATTTGCTTAGCGTGCTTTATTTTATTCGTTACGTCATTTCTGGTCTTCTTCACGTTATCCAACAATTCTTTCAGTGCCCCAGTACCCTGATCCTTTTTAGTTAAGTCATTGATGATAACATCAATTCGTGGAAAAAGTTGGGACAATAGATCTACTTTTTTTCTTTCGTTTCGCTCGAAATCGCTATTTTTTATTTCATCTAAAATTAGACTTTGAGCTTCAAATGTTTCTTTTTGAATCATGGGTAATTTCGAGGTTATATACATGCGTTTACGTTCCAAAGCAGCTTTTTCGAAAAGTCCATTCGTGTATCTTGTGCCCCTACTTGGGAGACAATCCACCATTTTAACAAGATTCTTTACTTGCTCGTTCTTTTCATCTGACTTTTTCGTAACATTGTCAAACACAACAATTCTGTTGCTGCACTCATTCAAAAGTTCTTTGAAAGGACCTTCCTCTTCTTCGCAAAAATTGGCTAATGTCAAATTGTTTTCATCTTGTTCTCGTTTAAAATCGTCCCCATTGGACAAGATAATGATGCCATAGTTTCTAAGAAAATCCTCTCCCAGTATTCCTTTCAGTATCTGAATCGCTTTTTGTTCGTCTTCAGTAAATCTTGTACCGAATTTTACAACAACTAAAAACGCGTGGTAACCGTCAGGATTAGCTATTATAGCTTTCTCCATGGCTCCTGTGATGAGTTTGATGTCTTCATCTTTCTTTGAATGTGTATCAATTACTCCTGGTGCGTCGACTACTTGTATCTTATAATTTTCAAATCTACTCCATTCGTACTGCGGCTTTTTTGTCACAGAGGATGATCTATAATTGCTTTTAAAAACCTTTTCTTTCATTAAGATGGAATTTCCTGAGGCGCTTTTCCCATTTCCTGTTTTGCCAATTAAAATGAAATCCAACGGCTTTACGCTGCTCATTTTTAAACTGAAAAAGAATAGTAAAACTAAAATGTATGTTTTGAAAAAAAATTACAATTACCTGTATAAAAATAATCTCTATTTTCTAAAGTGATTTTAGTTTGCATGGTGGGTTGTTAATTACATCAACAGTTTTTTACACATTTGAATTAAAAAAAAACGAATATTAAAAAAAAACTTTTAAAATATAATACAAAATTATATCATTATTTAGGAAATGCAAGAGATTAAAGTAAGAAAAGTGAGAAACATTATTGTGATTTTCTTTAATGTGCTCTATATTTTCTGTTATAGATTGTTTGTTTTTTTAACTGTATGAATTGCCGTTGTCGGCTAGGATTTTTTACAGTCAACTATAGACATGTCTAAATTTAATTATTAATTAAATAAACCGGGAGTCATCTCCCCTTAGCTTTCTGGAATATTCTTATATAAAAAAAAAACAGGGGATGGCAACTCGGGAAATAGACTAGATTTTTATAAGCTTTTATTTAACTCACTTCCTCTGTCTGTCGTCAGTCGTCAGTCTGTCGTCAGTCTAGATCGGAACGCCGGAGTGAAAATTCGGACACTTCTACTTAACAGATACGGTCCACAGTTGGCACGTGGGTCAAGACATGAATACAATGCAATCTGAAATTAAATTTGACTTAATTGGATGCCTAATTAATTGTGTATGAATTAATTAAAATTTGGACCGAATTAGTAGGCATGTCTATCCAACCACACCACACGTGTCATCACGTTCAATAGCGCGTCATCACGTTCAATAGGCGCGCAATGGTTTTTAGTCATGTAACTCTATTGTAAATAAAACATGTAAAGTACTGAAAAAAAATTCATAAAAAACGTTTTAATAACAAGCTTTTATGTAATAATGCACTAAAAAGTTGAAAATAAATTATACACTACTATTTAAATAACTATAAAGAAAAGCGTTGGTCTCTTCCTAAATATTAGTAAAGGTATCCAATAGATACTAAAGTTACCCATGCTTTTCTTTATAGTAATTTACATAAATAGTAGTGCATAATTTATTTTCTACTTTTTTGTGCATTATGACATAAAAGCTTGTTATTGAAACGTTTTTTTATGAATTTTTAAAATCCATTTTTACATTTTTTTTATTTAACTCACTTCCTCTTTCTATCGTCAGTCTGCGTCAGTCTGTCTAAGTCGAAAAGGCCGAGCGAAATTGCAGGCACTTCTTTCTTACAGATACGGTTCGTAGTTGAAACGTGGGTCAAGACATGAAGACAATGCATCGTGACATTAAATTTGACTTAATTGGATGCCTAATTAATTTTTTATGAATTAATTAAAATGTTGACCAAATTAGTAGGCATCTATATAAAACTTGTCCACACGCGACAACACGTTCAAGAGCGTGTCATCATGCTATGGCTTTTAGTCATGAAACTCTATTGCAAATAAAAACATTTAAAGTTCTAAAAAATGTGTTCATAAAAACGTTTTAATAACAAGCTTTTATGTACTAATGCACTAAAAAGAAGAACATTAATTGTAGACTACTATTTAAATAACTATAAAGAAAAGCGTTGGTCAAATAAAATGTGCATATTAGTGCGGAATATTAATAGTACTTTATAAATTCAAATGCGTTTTTTGAGAAATCGGACATAGCGAAAATTACTACTTCCGGTCAACGGAAATTACTCAAAATTTGATAGAAGGCATTAAATTAGATATTTTACTTACATGTCAAATTTCATTTATCTATATTTGAAATAGTACTCAAGCTATAAGCTTTTAAAAAATTGAAAGTAGAAAAAGTTTCACTTCCAGTTATCGGAAATTGCTCAAAAGTTGAGACGGATCTACGATTTTGATATAATACGTATATATGAAATTTCATCAACCTAGCTGTAACGGTACCCAAGTTATCGTGTTTACACACACACACACACACATACACACACAGACATACGGACAAGATTGCAAAACTATGTTTTTTCCGACTCATAGAGTTGTAAAACGTCGAGATTTGTAAAAATTTAGATTTTTTTTCACGATTACAAGATTTTCTCTATACTTCGTATATTTGAGAAAGTAAAAATGAATGTGTGTTTAAATAATTATTTAAAAAGGCAATACATAAAGCAACACGTACACTTATACTTGATTATATATATATATAGCCATGAGACTTTGGGGAGTTGATTAGAACACTCCGGGAAGGGTTCCGTCAAAAATCATCTTAATTTTGCAAGGGCGGCGCCACAGGTAGGTGCAATTTTCTCTATATATCTTCTATATATATATAAAGCAATGTATGAGTGTCTGTGTGTGTGTGTGTGTTCTTTATGCATTACTACACCTCTCATCACGTCGCCGTGAAACTTTATTAAGTTGTTAAGAATATTCCTGGGGAGGTTTCTGCGAAAAAAAATATTTCAAATTCGCAGGGGTGGCGCCCCGGCAGGGCGCGATTTGTTTTTCTCTATATACGGTATAAAAAAATAAAAGTCTATTTTGATTTCACACTGTTTATCCGATAGGCATGAAACTTTGGGGGAGTTGATTAGAACACTCTAGGGAAGGGTTCTGTACAAAAATCATTTTAATTTCGCAAGGGCGGCGCCACGGGAGGGTGCGATTTTTCTCTATATATGGTATATAAAAATAATAAAAGTGAATTGCAGTGACACTGTTCATCTGATAGACATGAAACTTTGGGGAGTTGATTAGAACACTCTAGGAAAGGGTTCTGTACAAAAATCATTTTTAATTTCGCAAGGGCGGCGCCACGGGAGGGTGCGATTTTTCTCTATATACCGTATATAAAAATAATAAAAGTGAATTGCCGTGACAACGTTCACACGATCGCCATTAAATTTTGGGAAGAAGTTGAAGTTATTCCTGGTAAGGTTTATGCGCTAAAAACATTTTCAAATTCGCAGGGGTGGCGCCCCGGCAGGGCGCGATTTGTTTTTTTTCTCTATATACGATATACAAAAATAAAAGTCTATTTTCATTTCACACTGTTTATCCGATAGGCATGAAACTTTGGGGAGTTGATTAGAACACTCTAGGGAAGGGTTCTGTAAAAAAAATCATTTTTAATTTCGCAAGGGCGGCGCCACGGGAGGTGCGATTTTCCTCTATATATGGTATATAAAAATAATAAAAGTGAATTGCAGTGACACTGTTCATCTGATAGACATGAAACTTTAGGGAGTTCATTATAAAACTCTAGGGAAGGGTTCTATAAAAAATAATTTTTAATTACGCAAGGGCGGCGCCAAGGGAGGGTGCCATTTTTCTCTATATACGGTATATAAAAATAAACGTCGATTGCGATTTCACGGCGTTCATACGATAGCCATGAAACTTCGGGGAGTTAATTATGACACTCTAGGGACGGGTTCTGTAAAAAAATAATTTTTAATTTCGCAAGGGCGGCGCCACGGGAGGGTGCGGTTTTTCTCTATATACGGTATATAAAAATAAAAGTCGATTTTGGTTTGGCATCGTTCATCGGATAGCCGTGAGACTTTGGGGAGTTGATTAGAACACTCCGGGAAGGGTACCGTCAAAAATCATTCTTAATTTTGCAAGGGCGGCGCCACAGATAGGTGCAATTTTCTCTATATATGGTATATAAAAATAAACGTCGATTGCGGTTTCACGGCGTTCATCCGATCGCCATCAAACTTTGGGGAGTTGATTAGAACACTCCAGGGAAGTTTTCTGTAAAAAAACTCCTTTTTTAATTACGCGAGGGCGGAGCCACGGGAGGGTCGATTTTTTCTATATACAGTTTATAAAATTTCGGTTTCACACCGTTCATCCGTGTACCATGAAACTTTGGGGAGATGATTAGATCACTCAATGGTAGGGTTCTGCAAAAAAAAAATTAATATTGCAAGGGCGGCGCCCCAGGGGAGAGCGATTTTTTTCTCTATACACGGTATATAAAAAATAAAACTCGGATGCGGTTCATCCGAGTGCCATGAAACTTTAGGAAGTAGATGAGAATACTCCCGAGAATATTTCTGCGAAAAAGAAAACTAAAGTTTCTTATGGGCGGCGCCATATAGGGTACAACTTTCGTCATTACACGGTTTGGCGCCCAAAGTTTTAGGGCGACTATGTTGGCACTTTTGCATCCGTTAATCGAGCGTCCTGCATAGCGAGTAAGGGGTACTACTATATTCAGCGGTAAAGCTACAACAGGCTTCTAAAAATAACTTTGTAACGCGAGGAAATCCTTCTGTACGGTTTCGTCACCTTGCGAAAGATGAAAAAATAAATTTTTGAATAAGAGGAGCCTACGGCAGAGTTTCGTCACTTTGCGAATGATGCAATAAGCATCTATTATTAGACGATACAGTCAGAAATTGAGATCGAGCATCTAATAATAAACCATTAGTAATGCCACCATATTGCATCAGTCACACTGATGTTTAAAACACGTCAAATAATTTTTACGTGTTAAAGAAAAAAAATAATGTTCATTTGTTTCACTTCAGCGTATGACGAAATGTGCATCATTGTTAACAGGATGCTATTTAGTACTCTGGGTTATCCTATGAGCATGATGGCGCCTGTTAGTTTGAAGGAGCCAGGGACCGTGCGCTGCGCCTATGCGATAGTGTAATCGGGGGGGGGGTGCTCCTGAGAGCGCCCCTCTACGTCCCTGACACATGTGTGGTCACCAAAGTGTGTTCTACCTCATTATTTCGGTGAGTGATTAATGTACACATAAGGTTTTCACGCGGTAGTGTAGGTAAACCCATGTCCCGATATTTATGATCCAAGGGCAGGCATTGTTTACATTTAAATAACTAACTTTTAGAAAATTAGGTCTCGAGTTTAAGAATATAGGATTGGTAACGTATGGATGAATCCCTTCTTATATATTTCGTCGGACTATCTTCTATTCCCGCGGCAACGCGTGGGGACGGGTACGCTAGTATATATATATATATATATATATATATATATATATATATATATATATATAAAGCAATGTATGTTTGTGTG